TTAAAAATTTATCCTAACAAATTTAAGAACTTATCATGCATAAATATAAAAACTTGAAATAACAAAAATAATAATATATAAAAAAAATTAGAAAATTAAAAAAAAATTTTACCTGAACCGAACCTGTCAACGGTCTAGTCAACGACGGTTCGATTGAACCGAAAAGGAGTCAGTTCGACGCGCAGTTCGGTTGAGCTGGTTGAGGAACGGTTTAGACCGATCTAGGAAGCGGTTCGGTCCAGTTTGGTCAAACCGATCCAGAGTTGTTGAAGAATCGGGTTGGTAGGTCGGTTGCATGGACCTCGGGTCGAGTCCAAGTCCACGCATGGATCCTCCCTTGCCCAAAACGTTGTCGTTTTGAGCTTTGCTTTTCCTTTATATAACTAAAGTTTTTTTTTGTTTATTCTTCTCTGTTTAAAAAAAAAGGGGAGAAAGAGCTCTGGGGGAGAGCACCGGGGCTCTCGCCATTCGGTCACCGAACCGTCACGTTGGCCACCGCCTAGGTCACCGTCGACGGTGTCGCCAATGATCGAAAGTTTTCAAAATTAACCAGGAGGTTCCATTCAACCTCCTAAGCTCAGATTTGGTACCCTTTTCATCAGAAACAACATCGATTCTCGTAGATCGAGTTTTGAAGTTTTTGACCCCTTTTTTTTTCTTAAAGACTCAAACTAATGATCTTTTTTTTTTGTTGCAAGTATCTCCTTGGCGCTAGGTTCCTCACCGATTCGGCGATGACTGTGGTTTCTGTTTTTGTATTTTTTTTCGTGTTGATTTCTGTTTGGGTGTTTGGGTACCAGTTTGAGGTTTTCTTGTTGGGGGTGAGTTTGGTGGGAGTGCGGGAAAGCTTTTTGGGTTTCTGGGTGTTTGAGTTTTGGTGCTTCTATGTCTAAGAGTTCTAGAAAGACTTGAAAGGAGAAAGATCAAGTGTTTTATAAGGTTGGAAATGGTGATAGCGTGTGCTAATGGAGCCACAAGGTCTTAGTGAAGGGACTGGATGAGGGGGTGGTATGATGGCTAGGGTAGTGGCATGATGGCTAGGCCGACTTGGTAGGGCGTGGGTGGCCAGCGGTGCCGTGTACGGCACCCGCTAGCACCAGCCCTTTTCTTTTTGTTTCTTCTTCTGTTTGGACTTTTTTGTTTGTCTTTCTTTTTTTTATATATTTATTTTTAATTTAATTAGTTTTTTTAATTAATTTTTTTAATTATAATTAAACCAATATTATTATTATTAATAAACAAGAATTAAAAATAGTAGACCCAGACAAAACCGGTATCTACAAAGTAATTATCAAAATGCAACGTTCAAGAGAAGTTAACAACTTAAAATTTTCACCATTCTAAGAGAATGGCCAAAAGTTATGTAAACTAACCATTTAGCAAAGCTTGCCCATACGAACTCTGGATATTCACGGGAGACCTTAAATGTTTTCTTATCAACTCTTACAGATTGTTTACTTGATGGATCGGAGGTAGCAGAGAGCATGAACTGTGACTTTGTGGCTGTATTTGATTATCTACTGTTGGTAGTAGAGGTGCCTTTGAGACAATTAGGAATGAAACGAACTGCCTAAACTTGAAGGTGCAGAAGCGCCCAAAAACCTGATATTTGAACACGGTACACTACTGTACAGATCAACAGATTGCCTGAAAAATTAACAGAAGCCATAAACATTTGAAGCTCGAAATAGAAGCAATGCCTCAACGAAGTGACTAAATAACACCTTTTTCGCTTGATTCAACTATCTAATACTGCACAAATCAAAGGTTCTATAACAGTTGCTAATGTCACATCCCCTTCTACAGAAATAATATTAGCTTACTTTGACTTCAGGACTTTTCAACTTACATAAATTTGGCATAATTTTGAATACCAAAATGTGCTACTATTTGCATGCTTGAAGAAAATATATCTTCAAGGTTCCAGAAGCAGAATTAAAAACAATAGAATAACCAAAATTAAATGTGAAAACTAATTTTTGTTGTATATTATTTTTTAAAAATCAAAGCATCAACAAACTTAAATAGTCTATCTCTACTAGGGCCCATAGAAGATTCATACTTCCAATATTAACAGTGTAGCATAATTAAATAATTGTAGATGGACTTGTGGGCCAAAGGACTAGAGAAGCTTATCCTCTACAAAATTTTACACAACATTAATCTGTGATCGTTATCACAAATGCATTAATCATAGTTTTAAGTATATTTTTTTCCTTTCTAAAGATATGCTTAAATCTACCTGTACTTTATTTTTATACTCTTCCCTATACCATCCCTTATACCAAATACACAAGCCATTCCTCATCAAGAACAGCAAATCAAAGTAATGATATTAACACAACTTTCTATCCCAGAAAGAGTAAAGTAAATATTTAAAATTTTTTAGTAGCTGTTTCTTATCTTAACTCTTGAAGATTAACTAAAACAATCTTTGAAAAAACGAACAAAAATCCAGGCAGCTATGAAAGTTACGAAAGTGCAAAGAACAAAGAAGAGAGAAACAGAACAGCAGTGCAATCATGTACTGTGTACTAATGGCTTAACCTAGTTGCCATAGCTTTTCAATTTCAAACTAGCATAAAAGTCTTTTAAAAGGACCTTCACAAATTTGATAATAGAATATGTGGCACAAGATACCTGCATTTCATCTGTTGTCCTGTAGGTCATTTAGTGGAAGACCAAGAGAAGAACATACTGGATTGAATATCTGTTAAGAGAGGTGAAATACATTTTTATTAGCTATTAAGAATTTAAAGAGAGAAAATAAATAGCAAGTGATGAGACACCATCGGGGACAAGTTGTGAGCCTAATGATACAAAACAAAGCATATGTTTGTAGAGTGAACCAACAAAAAGCATAGACATACAGCTTTGCCATTTCGAAACAAGTATTTGAGAGGGTGAATTTGAATTTGATTTGGTTGTCAATTTTTTGACGATTACATTCGAGGGAGTATAAAAGGATGCATTTGGAATTCACTTTGTTATCTAGGTATTTTAAATTCATTACTTTGAGTCATTCTATAAATCCATATACTCGAATGTAATTATACAACTGATATATTCATGAGTATTACAGTATAATTTCTACTACATTTGAAATCCAAATTCATCTTCTAAACTGTAAATTTACAAATGCAATATAAAATTTCATGAAATTAGATGGCTTAGTTGCTAAAAGAACGTACCCATGAAAGCTAGGATCCTTACTTGCTACTCAGGAAAACCCTCAAGTGGTGAGATCTTGTAAGAGGAGCAGCTGTTCAAGTTGTTTGAGTAGTCCTTGAACTGAATGAATCATGGAAAGGAAGACAGTGCTTCTGGTATGAACTAGAGAATATGGTAGTCACTGATTTCATACCATACAAGAGAATGGAGTAAAGGTCATTTTTCTTTATTGATTTAGAATCTATGCACATAGGCATTGCTGCTCCAGGAAATCCAAATTTGAAATGAACTATGAAGAGCTTGACACAAAGGTGCGGAACCATCAAAAACTGTCATGCAGGTAATTCCAGGATAGAAAAATGAGCTATTGCACCTCCAGCCTAAGGCAACTTGCAGAAGAAAAACTTCATTTCGACGGTAATCATCAGCTAGAATTTGTAAAACTGCTCAGAAGTGGCTTGGGTGATCGTAGCCTGAAAAGTAAAGCAATTTGCCAAAAATTAAGTACCAGTTGTAGATTTAATTCCATCTAAAAGTGAAATCATCAATATTTACATTAATTCTGCTTGAAGAGAATACAATACGCCACAAAATCATTTGTAATATTTGATTTTTTCTAACCCAAAAAATACTCAACTAGTAGTTTTTTTCCCTTTTTATGAAGATTGAAGAATATCAATTAAATAAATTAGAAAATTGCTACATAAAAATAGAGAAGTACTCCACCTCAGAGATGGCTAAGCAATTGACAGCTAACTTAGAGTGAATTATGGAGCTCTCCACCTCTTCATTGGAATACTCAACTAGTAGTTTTTTTCCCTTTTTATGAAGATTGAAGAATATCAATTAAATAAATTATAAAATTGCTACATAAAAATAGAGAAATACTCCACCTCAGAGATGGCTAAGCAATTGACAGCTAACTTAGAGTGAATTATGGAGCTCTCCACCTCTTCATTGGAATGGCACTATGCTAGTTCCTTGAGCTGGGAGTATTGCAATCTCTAATTTTCACCTTGTGCAGACCACAAAGTAGTCCCTCAAAAGCAAACAAATCAAATTCAATCAACTCCAATTCATGAATTGCTGCAATTCGAAGTTATCCCACAAGTTATCCCCCTTCATTATGCTCAAGTTCATTGAAAGGTGAAGGGTGTCGATTAGCTTATGACAGTAACATTCTTCAACATGAGAGAGTGTCCCATATTCTTTATCATCTTAGGAAAAAAGCCATTCCTGCCATTTCAAGATTTGTTAGAACCTTAATATTTTCACTCGGAAAGAGATAGTGAATTATATATTTGATTTGTTGTTCATTTTTTAAGGATGATTGCTGTCATTACATTACAGAGAGTATAAAAAGATGTATCCAGAATTCACTATTCAAGAGAAATTTACCCAATCTATATATTTAAATGGAATTATTCAAGTCATGTATTTTTGAGCATTACCATAATTTCTACAGCATTTGAAATTCAAATCCATCTTCGCAAATGGAGATTTCCAAATGAAATCTAAAATTTGATGGAACCTAGATGGCTTAGTTGCTCAAAGAACATACCTATAGAAGTTAGGATCCACAGTTACTGCTACGGAAAACCTTCAAACTAAGAGCTCTTTCAAAAGGAACAGTCCTTGGACGTAATGAATCATCATGATAAGCAAGACAGTGATTCTGGTCTGAACTAAAGAATATGGTTGCCACTGATTTCGTAACAAGAGAAGGAAGGAGTTGAAATCCTTATTCTTTATTGAGGTCAGATCTGAGCAGATCAACATTGAAGCTCTAAGAAACCAAAATTTAAAATTAAGTATGCAGAGCTTGATGCCAATCCATCCAAGTATTGCAAACTTTGATGCAGATATTCTGGGATAGAAAAATGAGGCCATTAATCTCCACACTAAATCAAATCATACAACAGGGAACTTTACTTGAATGGGAATCATAAACTGGAATTTGTAACTGATTCTTAAAAAGAAAAAAGAATCCAGGAAGGCTATAAAATATTTTGAAGCAAATTAAGCAATAGTCAACCCTTGAAACATAAAAGTAATGAAGAATTTGGCATTAGAATTCAACAAAAAATGAGAAAACAGTCCAAAAACTTCAATCAATTAAGAATTTTTTGAAGAAAAATCAATACATAAGTAAAATAAGTAGTGAAATTAAGTGAAAATGGAAGGAGTACCTGACCCTGAGTTAGATTGCGTTAATAATGGCAAAGGGACACGTTGACACATTTGGCTTCTGAGTATTGCTATATAATGAGTTTACCGTCAATCCAAATGACAGGGATGTGGGAAATGATAGGCCAATCTTTATCTTTCTCCTTCTCGCAATGTTCACTCAGCAAAGGACAACCAGAAATGTAAATATAAGAAAGAGAGTCAGGGAGCCTCTTTGCCGGCATGGATTGTAGAGTTGGACATTCGCCGATAGAAAATTTGTGGAGAGAGGTGAGGTGTTGAAAGCCCTTATCGTCCAAAAGCTTAAGATTTGGAAAACAATAAATGCGAAGATTGATAAGAGAAGAGGACAGCAGATGTTTATCTGGAAAATACTCTTTTGCATCTGTGAGTGAATGGAACTCAATTGCCAAACTGGAACCGCTGATACACAATTGGCGAAGAGAGGTGAGGTGTTGAAAGCCCTTGTTGTTCAAAAGCTTAAGATTTGGAAGACCCCATAGCTCAAGATGAGTAAGAGAAGAGGTCAGCATATGTTCATCTGGAAAACACTCTATCTCTAATTTTTCACTCACGATTTCAAAGCGTGTAAGTGTAGGGAGTGTTCGCAAACTCCATTCCCTCCTTGTCATGCCTACAATCAACCTTTCACTTTCTAAGATAGAAATAGTTTTTAATTTGGAGGGCAAACCCTCTTTTGGAAATGACTCTATTACTCGACATTTTGATATTATCAATTCCTCAAGGGATGGGAAGAGGGAGTGCATATGCTCTGGCAATGACTTTAAATTTACGCAAGAGAAAAGCTTAAGTGACATTAAATTGGTGGCAGATATTCCCTCTTCAATTTGAAAAGATAGAAAATTAGAGGAGCGGATTACCAAAGATTTAAGACATGCGAGATGCAGGTGGTGAGACCCCCCTGATGCGAGATTCTTTCTCAAGTTGTCGCATGAGAAAGAATGATGATTTAGCATAGGAAATGATTCTAGGGGATGACTCCTTCCGCCTATTATCTCCAAGGATTCAAGGGATGTATACAAGGGCATGTTGAAACAATCCAAGACACCACCCTCGATTCTCAATTGCTTTAGCGTGATAGGAAGACTACCTTCAGGAAGTGATCTGAGATTAGAACAATTAAACATAGTTAACTTTTCAAGACGAGTGCAGTATTGCATCATCCGTTCCAATATGGAATCATTGATAATCCGATTGCAAATATCCAACTCTCGAAGCCCACAAGGCAATGGCACCAATTGCAATGCATCACATTCCTTTAACTCAAGTTCGCAAATGCTTGGTGCCCTAGGAAGCAAGCCACCAAGATTTCCACAACGGTCAATCCGAAGTTTCGTTAAAGATGGGAGGTGCTTGGGCAGAGAATTGGTTAGCTTGGGACAATCTATTATGCTTAGCTCTTGCAAACTAGAGAAAGCATCATCTCTCGTACAAAGCTTCCATTCTTCCCACTCTGGCATATCCCTAAACCTTAGAGTTTTAAGAGATCCAAATGGTTTACTCCATGCATCACAATGCCCATAGAAACCATCATTATCATCACCGACTGTTGCTACTCCGGGAAACCCTGAAATAGAAAGAGATTCCAAAGATGATAATTGTCCAAGCGGTGGCAAGAACAAGCAATATTTACAACCGCTGAAGACTACAGATACTACTTTGGAGAAGAAAGAATGTCCGATCCATTCCAGAAAACTTGTACCACCATAACAACTAATGACAAGTCGCTCCAAGTTTGTATAGGGCTCCAATTGCTCAAGTACTTCTCTGTCATGCCTTCTATCATCAATATCAAAGTCAGAACGCCACAGCAACTCAACTCCTTAAGGTTCATCTTTTCCTCCAAATTGGCATCTTTGGCATCCCTTGCACAGGCAACATTTCCTAAACCTGAAATGGCAAGTCTCCCACATAGATGCTTGAGCTTTCCTAACTCATTAATGCTTGAACCATTTTGCTCGCCCAAAACAAAATCCGTTAATGTTCGAAGATCTTTCAACTTATCCATTCCTTTAGGCATCCTGGCTAACTTTGTTTCCCGAAGATCGAGATGTTGCAAGTTTATTAATCTACACATATCTTTCGTCAACTCAACAAGGCAGAAGCATTCAAACAATATTAATGCTTGCAAATAATACAATGTACTCAAAGAGTTCGGCAAACATTTAATTAAAGTTTCAGAAAGATTCAAATATCTCAAATATTTTAAATTCCCAATTTCTTCAGGCAACTCATTGATGTTACGATATTTAGCCAAAGTAAGAACTCGTAAGCATCTACATTTTGTTATCAAATCAAGCATTTGGCTGGTAATATAACAACAGAGTGGAGATGACTGAAAAGTCTGGAATGTTCGCAAACTTTTTGCTTTGGATAATGTCTTAAATTTCTTGCTAACATCATATTGTTCTTGGATATTGGACAAATGACGAGTCTTTTCAGTTATTTCATATGAACCACCACCATTACCTTCCACTTTGCAAAAAAATTCTCCAGATATAGATTTAGCTAAGTCACTAATTAGGTCATGCATGACAAAGTAAGATTTGTCCCTAGTTGATTGTTGAAAAAATGACCTGAATGCTAAATCTTTGAAGCACTTGTCACCTTCCGCGTTGCCATCTTTTTTGGAAATTTGTAAAAGACCTTCAGCCATCCATAGTAGAATGAGTTCTTCCTTTTTGAATTCATAATCTTTGGGAAAAATGGAACAATATGCAAAGCAGCGCTTCAAATGTGAAGGAAGAAAATAATAACTTAATCTTAAAGATGGAGGAATAGTAGTACCTTCCTCTTCTAGTTTTTCCCACAAATCACTGTGTAATATTTCATTCCATTCGTCAGCATCTTTACAACGCAGAAGACCTCCAAGTGCTTTTGCTACTAGAGGGAGGCCTTTGCACCTTTGGGCAATGGCTTCACCGATTACCTTCAGATCTGGATGCATGCTTGGGCTTCCGTCAACAAATGCATGTTTTGCAAATAACTTCCAACGATCATCATCAGATAAGATATCAAGATGATAAGTTGGAACAGTCCTCACAATGGATGCAACACTTTCACTACGTGTTGTTACGATAATTTTGCTGTTTTGTGCCCCAGAAGTGAAAGGTCTTCTCAGCTCTTCCCAGTCAACATATTTCTTGTTCCAGACATCGTCCAATACAAATAGAAACTTCTTTCCCAACGGCTTCTCCTTAAGTTTAAGTTGAAGCTGATTTAAGTTCTGACTACCGTCACAGCTAGAAGTGATTTCTTCAAGAATGGTTTTGGTTACCCTGACAGCATCAAATTCGTCTGAAAAACACACCCAAGCTTTGAGGTCAAACCATTCCTCCACTCTCTTGTCATTGTAGATCAATTGTGCAAGGGTGGTTTTACCAACCCCGCCCATACCCACTATTGGAATCACATCTATCTGATTTTTAGTTGGATTTTCTGGGTGCAACAACTTCATTGTTGCTTCTTTTTCATCATCTCTGCCATAAACACCAGACTCATCCACCAAAGAAGTTGCAGGTGAATTTTGAAATGCCTTTTTTCCTTTACAATGTTCTTCCAAACCGAGGATATCTTTTTGATTGACTAGAGATTCTAGCCTCCCAAGGATATCCTTCAGCTTTAAATCCATGCCACTGTTGAAAGGATTGAGAGAAGAGATAAGGCAACTTAACTTCTTTGAAGTGGTTTGACCCAACCTGCTTCGAAGAGCTTCAGCAGCAATCTCTTCTAGGAGGTCCTCCGCATCATAAACAGCATCTTTGAGCTCAGCAACCCAATCTTTCACGTTTTGGTTGGTAATCTGCTTGTATTCAGCATCATCCAGCACTGCTTTAACAGACATCAGCATTGGCTTTAGTTTCTTCACCAGTCTCTTTTTCAGTTTCTTTCCTCGAATGAAGTCTAGGACCTCTTGAGAAGCCATCCTGTTGAACAGAACTTGAAGGCTAGCAGAGAGAAAAGCTCCACCCACTAACGCATCCGCCATTTTTTTTTTTTTTTTGCAAGGGAAGGATTTGAAGAAGATAAAAAAAGGAAGTGATTGCAAACAGCAAACAGCAAACAGTGAAATTAGATGAAGAAGAGAAGACGAAGAAAGCGTTGTGCTGAAGGCAAGGCTTAATTCTGTGCTTATGAACTTTTCTAGAACGCTGCAATGATACCCCACTTCACTTTCATTGAAAGATGAAAGAATTTATTCCATCATCAAAGCAAAAGAGACACGTAGAAAAAAGAAGGCTGTAGGCCGTAGTGTTTTATATACTTTCGGTGCCAAAGTTATTGTCTGCATGGTGTGTTGATTATTCATAGGCTAATGGGAAAAGGAAATTACAACTTGCAATAAAGAAAAGATTGAATTCACAACAGAAAATAAAGTACAAGAGCATGTTAATGGATCATATTTTCATTTATAGAAATTTCTTCGGAAATTGCAGGGGAAAAAAGTGAACAAATGCTAGATATGGACATGGAATTTTCATCTGAAGTCTACCAAAAAGAAAGTATGATGCATTATGCATATAAAAAAATTTAATTTTCTCCTAAAATGTATCAAAAAGTAGTTTTTCAAAATCAAAGTCCTAAGGTTGATATCACCAGTGATGTTCTACTTAAAATGGCGTTGATGTGAGACTTGAGATAGTTTGATGGTATCAACTCTCCTCAAAGACTTATAATTGCGGGTTGTCACTGGATACTTGGTTGAAGCATATATTTGATCTAATTAAGAAAGAACATTCTGCATTTCTTAGATAAAAAAGCACAAATGGTAACAGATAGCACAAATTTATGGCTACACATGATCTCTCATTTTCCGTAAAAACTGCCAAGTACTTGTTTTCTTTGTCATGTTTAATTAATTGTGCTGAAAATACATGTCTTGTCCTCCCTAACCTCTTGGGTCTTTGGACATTTGAAGTGGAAGGAAAAAAGATGACTTAAGCAGTCACCAGCCTTCGGTTAGTAACTTTGAATTCAGATAAAAGAATATTTTTAAAAAAATTAGATAAGAACAAAAGTAACTTTGAATATTTTTTCCTAGCTTAATCCATTTGGATATGTTATTTAGGTAAAATTAAAAACAATGATAAAGTTAACTAATTTTGTTATAATTATGAGATTTGATATTATAATAACCAGATTAAACTTAATAATATATATTTGGATGTAAATATAATAATAAAAAAATTGAATATAACATAAAAATTAAATAGGACAATTTTATTATAAATAATTGATTATAATAATTAATTTGTTTAATTTTACATTAAACATTGAATTGCCACTCTGTTAAAAAAAATGAATTGCCTCCAGTGTATCCAGCTCAATGAACAACTGTTGAGTGACCTTCTCTTCTCAAAGTTCTGCTTGTAAACTGTTAATGATGTATGTAATTAAAAAATTATTTAATAAAAAATCATAAATTTTAAATGTTCAAAAAATTCTTAATGGTGCTTAAAAGAATAAACCTTTAAAATTTTTTTATTTTTCAATTTTGAAGTATACATAAATATCTTAGCCTATAACTTACATCTACCCTGCAAATCAATGTTTGTCTTTCACAATTTTATTTCTTGTTCACTTTTAATAAAAATTAATTTTTTTATTTTACTAAAGTTATATATAATTATTATTAAACTTTTAAATTATATATTTTAATTTTTTATATCATATTTTATATTATCCAATCTTTCTTTTAGGCTTGAACATTTGAATTGGAAATATAAAAGATTAGAGGCTTCGGCTTTTCTTGAGTTGGATAACAATGAAAAATAGTGACTCGAGCACTATGAATTCACGTAAAAAAAAAAAGGATAAAAATAAGTTGCGCATGAAGCAATAATCACAATAATACAGAAGCAATAGACAGCAATCAATAATTAAATGCGCAGAAAAAATAAAGCACACCAAGATTTACGTGGAAAACCCTCCAGTGTAGAGGGAAAAAATCACGGGCCACCAGAAAAATCTTCACTATCAAATAATAGTTATACAAAGTTCTTCTCTAGCTAAAACTAGAACTAATCAACAACTAGAGAAACAATTGGAGAAATCTCACCAAATAAGTGACTCAACAAATACACCCTGGATTTGTTCCTAGAGAGCTTCAAACCCAATCTTCACCGTTCAGAATGTAAACTCTGAATCATAAACCTCCTGACAAGGTTCCAACTCAATCGGACCACGGATCGACTTCCGTTCAACCAACTCTCCCTTCTCTTTTTCTCTCTCTGCTTTTCCTGGCTTTTCTTCTTTCTCTGCTTGGTTTCGACACACACATAAAACAACCCCACCTCTTTTTTATTAAGTAGCTAGGGCTCTGTGTAAAATAAAAGATCAAGGCCCATGGCCTTTACTTGGTCCAAAACCACTTACATGGGACTGGACCCCATTTTCCTAACAATCTCCCCCTCCAGCCCCATTAGGAGGAGATTCATCACCATAGCAGTTTCATTTGGAACTTACCTTGGCCAGGGAACTCATTCCGGCCAAGTTACTGCAAAGCTCAAGCTTTTCCCTGGGAAGTATCTTAGTCAACATATCTGCCACATTTTTATCAGTATGGACTTTCTTCAATAGCATCTGCTGTTCTTCAATCACTGAACGTAACCAATGATATCTAACATCAATGTGCTTTGTTCTAGCATGGTACATGGTATTCTTACTCAAATCTAAAGCACTCTGGCTATCACAAAATACCACATACTCTTTCTGATTCAACCCCAATTCAAGAAGAAAACGTTTCATCCAAAGCATTTCTTTACATGCTTCAGTTGCTGCAATATACTCAGCCTCTGTAGTTGACAAAGCAACACACTTCTGCAACTTAGACTGCCAAGATACAGCTCCTCCTGCAAAAGTGAACAAATACCCTGAAGTAGATTTCCTACCATCAAGATCGCCTGCCATGTCAGCATCAGTAAACCCTTCTAGAACTGGTTGTGAAACTCCATAAGTCAAGCACATTTTTGAGGTACCCCTCAAATATCTAAAAATCCATTTCACTGCTTCCCAGTGAACCTTCCTGGATTAGAAAGAAATCTGCTCACTACACCAACTGCATGAGCAATGTCAGGCCTTGTACAAACCATAAGATACATTAAAGAACCGACTGCAGAAGAATAAGGAATACTAGACATAGCTAGTTGCTCTTCCTTAGACACTGGACAAGATTTCTTACTTAGATGAAAATGGTTGGCAAGTGAACTGCTAACTGATTTAGCATGTTGCATGTTGAATCTACCAAGCACTCGTTCAACATACTTTTCCTGTGACAACCACAGCTTTCCAGCTCTCCTATCCCGGATAATGTCCATACCAAGAATCTGCTTTGCTGGACCTAAATCCTTCATATCAAAGGACTTAGACAATTGTTCTTTCAACCTGCAAACCATACTAGCATCTTGTCCTACAATCAACATATCATCAACATATAATAATAGGATAATGAAGTTACCATTAGGGAATTGTTTAACATACACACAAGAATCCGCTGCTGTTCTTTTATAGCTATGACTCACCATAAAAGAATCAAACTTCTTGTACCACTGTCGCGGAGCTTGTTTCAAGCCATACAAGCTTTTCTTCAATTTGCAAACTAAGTGCTCTTTCCCTTTCACTTCAAAACCCTCAGGCTGATTCATATAAATGTCCTCCTGCAAATCACCATGCAAAAATGCAGTTTTAACATCAAGTTGCTCAAGCTCAAGATTCAAACTAGCTGCCAATCCCAGTACCACTCGAATAGAACTCATTTTTACAACTGGAGCAAAAATCTCATCAAAATCGATGCCTGGTTTCTGAGAAAAACCTTTTACTACCAATCGAGCTTTGTACCTCACTAGTTTGTCACCATTTTTTCAACTTGAACACCCATTTATTCTTTAATGGCCTTTCCTGTTGGAAGTTTAACAAGATCATAAGTACCATTCTTTCGCAATGACTCCATCTCTTCTTTCATTGCTTTTAACCAGTGCTCTCTATCCGGAGTAGCCTGCACATCTTGAAAGCTTTCTGGCTCCCCTTCACTGGTAACTAAAATAAAATCTGAACTTGGATACCTGGTAGATGGCCTGCGCTCTCTAGTAGATCTCCTGGGCTGAGACTCTACATCACTTGATGCTGAAAGTAGCTCCCCCTTCTCAACACTCTCAGGTAGAGAGGATTGCTCCCCCTGCTCAAAACTAATAGCATCTGGCTCATCACCAACTGTGGCTGGCTCATTCATATCCCCAAGTTCTATTTCTGGCTCATTTTCACCATCTGTGGCTCTTTCCTATGAAATCCCTGTCAGTGTTGAAACATCACACTCAACAGTAACTCGTGTAGTCTTCTCATTTTTCTCAAGGTCTGCTATGGTTTCTTTTTCATGAAAGGCCACATCTCTGCTTCTAACTGTCTTTCTCTTTACTAGATCCCATACCCTATAACCAAATTCTTCATCACCATATCCTACAAACACACACTGTGTAGCTTTACTGTCAAGCTTTGACCTCTGCTTTTTTGGCACATGCATGAATGCTCTACACCCAAAAACTTTCAAGTGAGAGTATGAAGTATCTTTTCCTATCCACACTCTTTCTGGAATGTCAAAGCCCAAAGGAACTAATGGTGACCTGTTAAGTAAATAACAAGCTGTGTTGACTGCTTCACCCCAAAATGGCTTTGGTAATTTTGCCATCCTCAACATACATCTGACTTTTTCCATAATGGTGCGATTCATTCTTTCAGTTATACCATTATGCTGCGGTGTTCCAGGCTCTATCCTCTCATGCCTGATCCCATGCTTTGAGCAATACTCTTCAAAGCCTTTAGATGTGTATTCCCTACCATTATCAGTTCGAATACACTTCAAGGGTAACCCTGTCATCTTTTCAACCATAGCATGAAATTTTTGAAAATACTACAGTATCTGACTTTTGTATTTCAACATATACACCCAAGTCTTACGTGAAGCATCATCAATAAAAGTAACAAAATATCTGCTACCACCTAATGACTCAACCTCAATGGGACCACATACGTCAAAATAAATTAATTTCAATCTATTTTCTTTTTTTTGAGAACTTTTACGAAAAGAAACTCTATGATGCTTACCAAATAAACAATAATCACATGAATCGAGAGACATACCTTTGGTCAAGAGAATGAGAGAGTGCCTTGCCAAAACCTGTACCCCTT